CTGAGACGGCGCGGGGGAGGGGGCGGAGCGGGGAGGGGGGATGCGGTGCCGAAATAAAGTGGTCGGGGCGGAGGAGGCACTGGGCGGGCGCTGGAACCGCGGGGGGGCGCTGAGACGGCGCGGGGGAGGGGGCGGAGCGGGGGGGGGGTGCGGTGCCGAAATAAAGTGGTCGAGGCGGAGGGGGCACTGGGCGGGCGCTGGAGCCGCGGGGGGGCGCTGAGACGGCGCGGGGCAGGGGGCGGAGCGGGGGGGGGGTGCGGTGCCGAAGTAAAGTGGTCGGGGTGGAGGGGGCGCTGGGCGGGCGCTGGAGCCGCGGGAGGGCGCTGAGACGGAGGGGGCGCATGATGATGATGTGGATGATGATGGTGATGATGATGATGATGATGATGATGATGATGATGATGATGATGATGATGATGGTGATGATGATGACGATGATGATGATGATGATGATGATGATGATGATGATGATGATGATGATGATGATGATGATGATGATGATGATGATGATGATGATGATGATGATGATGATGATGAAGGGGGGGGGGGGCGGTGCCGAAATAAAGCGGTCGGAGCTCTAGACACCCTGTGCAAGATAATAAAGTGGTCGGAGCTCTAGACACCCTGTGCAAGAGAATCAATAACAACTGCGTCGAGAAGTGATGAGCATCTGAGCATCCTTCAGACCGCATCGGGAAGGGCACCTCGCACGAGGTTCGAAAAGCTATCCCCCGTTGATTCGGACAATTTGGGAGCCCTGGGGGACCGGGGACAATGTACAGCGCCCGCACTGCATTTCGTCCTGTGTGCTGGGTCCACAGAGCGCCTGATGCCCTCCCCCCCAATGGTCGCAGTCCATCCTACAGTCGGACTTGATTGGACAGGACACGCGAGAGGACACAAGACCCTTCCGAGGGCCACATTGCCATGATAATGCAGGCGACATGGGTCGCGAGACACCGGACACGAAGGTACCCTTGATTTGGCAGGGTGGACCTACTAATGAGGGCCGAATGTAGGGCAGTGGGTAATAATGATGGCGAAGGTAAATCAACCTCCAGTGAGCTCAAAGGTGTTAGGACAAACATCAGCCTAGATATCCAAGGGGTTGCTGGGCAACGCACATCGAGCGTCACATGAGGCGAAAGAGGAGCCGACGCAATTACGTTGTACGCCGCTGTCTCGGTCGGTAGGTCGTGACTTCCAGATGCAATAGAGGTTAACATGTTAACAGAACACCGCACATTATGGCACTGCTACCGAATATGCATTACTGTACTGCCTAGGGCAGGCGCGGCTAGCACGACGTACATACTTGTGTTGCTGTAAGCTGATGGAACAGTGAGGTAACACCAAGCTCCAGAAGTATCCCCAAAGAAACTCTCACTACTGGCAACAGCACTGCCTGCCAGCCAACCTCGGAGTCCCCGCAGCCCTGGCATCCTAGCGCACCCTGGGGCTTCCTGGGCCACCCTGGAGGCTCCTGGTGCTTCCGAGGGCCCCCTCGAGTATCCTGGAGTTCTTGAACTTCTTCCGTGCTCCTCCTGGAGCCCACTGCAGGGCATCCGTGGAGTCTCCCCAGCGCCTGCTGGAGCCTCCAGGGGTCTGCAGGGGCCTCCAGAGGTCTCCTGGGGCATCCCGTGGGCCTTGGGGCCCCTGTGAAGCATCCTCGGAGCCTCCTTAGGCTGCGTCGGGACTCCTTTCGAGGAGCGCAGGACGGCATACACAAAACTTTCAGCGTTCCGAGATGCATCGGCGCCGGAGCCCCTTGGCCGCCCCCCGGGCGCGCTCCGCCGGCCAGGGAGGGGGCCCAGCGCCGATCCGAGAGATACCGGCGCAGACCTCCGCAGACCTATGTTCGTGCCAGTTGTGACTCCTCGCTCCTGGATCGATCCTGTTTTTTTAAAGACTCTGGCAAGTTTACTTGCATGGATCGAGCCTGTTTTTTTTAAGACTCTGGCAAGTCTACTCGCATGGACGGGGGGGGGGCTGAGCCTGAAACAAGCCCGGGGGGGGGGCGCGGAAATCACGCAAGTCGAAAGGCACTGCACGCTAGTACTCGCTTGAAGAGGGGCGAGGGGGGGGGGGGGGGGGGCGAACGCCATGCAAGTAAACTTGCCTGAATCCAAAAAAACAGGCTCCTGGATCCCCTCACGGCCTCCGGGTCCTCGTCGAGGGCCTCGATGTAGTTCTTGGGCACGTCCCACTGCGGCGCGGGGCGGCGCGCCGGGGGGAGGCGGGGGGAGGAGGAGCGCCAGGGGCGCCGGGGACGGGGCCGAGGAGGGAGGCGAACGGAAGAGAAGGACGGCGGGGGAGGACCGAAGGAGGCAGGAGGGAGAGGAGAAGGAGGAGGAGGAGGAGGAGGAGGAGGAGGAGGAGGAGGAGGACGACAAGGACCAGGAGGAGAGGAGGAGGAGGAGGAGGAGGAGGAGGAGGAGGAGGACGAGGACGGGGAAGGAGGTTGGCGAGCAAGGGGGCAGGGTGGAGGGATGACCCCGAGGGGGCAGGATGGGGGAGCTGGAGAAGGAAGGACATGGAACGAGTGAGGGGAGCGGGGAAGGAGCGGGAAGAGGAGAGAAGGGGGAGAGAGGACCCGACGCGGGAGCACAAGGAGGAAAGGCGTAGAAAGTTCAAGTCGTCGTCGTACTCCTCCTCCTCCTCCTCCTCCTCCTCCTCCTCCTCCTCCTCCTCCTCCTCCTCCTCCTCCTCCTCCCGCTCTGCCGCCTACTCTCCTCCCCGCCCCTCCTCACCCATCCTCCTTCCTTTTTCTCCCCCTCCCGCCCTTCCCCACTTTCATCCTTCCACACTTCTGCCACCTCTGCCTCCTCCTCCTCGGCAACCCTCAGCCCCATCGTTCCCCTCTCCTCTCCTCATCCTGCTCCCTCCATCCCCTCTTCCTCGTCATCATCCTTGTTTGTGTCTCCTGGGTCACCCTTCACCTTCCTTGGAAATAGTCTTCCTCCAGAAGGCGCAGGAGGAGGGAGGAGAAGTGGGGCTCGGACATCTGGGTATCGATATCGTCTCTGGAGATGGGCTCTTCGTACATCTTGAACGTCTGCCCCTGATCTGCTCGTGGTCCTAGCCCTGGGGCAGGGCTGGGCTCGCCAGAGCCCACCCCCCACCCTGTAGCTATGGGGGCAGCACGCTTAGACGAGCGCGTTCCACTACTCGCAAAGTAGCTACTCGCAAATGGCCTGGATCCGCCGCGGGGGATCTGCGAGAAGTTGCATCGAAGCAGACGTGTTTTTGTTCGGGCGTTTGCGAGTAGGTACTTTGCGAGTAGTGGAACGCGCTCGGTGAACGCTGGGCGAGAACGAGGTCGAGAGTTGGAACCAACTGTGCGCCTGGAACGCGGATCATGATGAAGATCGGGATGGGGATGAGGCAAAAAGAATGAGGATTACCACGCCTCGTCCCTCCAAGCTTTCAAGCCTTCTCACGAACGGCGAACACATCCGCATCCGCGCCCTCCCGGTCTGGACTCCGAGGCTCCGCGGATACACGGTCGCACGGATACGTTCCGCGCGGTGCAGCAGCGAAACACGCCCCGTGTCTGGGGCGTCGCGGCCCAAAGGCCCGGCCCACGAGGCCGTGGATACGGACATGGGTGCCCGCGCCTCCATCAAGGCCTTCTCCCAAGGTGCCCTTCATTGTTCCAAGCGACGGCTGGAAGTGCCGGCCATCCTGCACAACAGCATCCTCAGAGGTTAACTGGACGCCGTGCAAGGACATGGGCAACTTGCCTGCTATGCCACGCGGCGTCAAACAGCCGGGACGCAACCAACCTGTGATTTGTTGCATCTATTCTCCACTACTTCTCATACTCCCTCCTCCTTCTCCCAAACATTCTCGCCTCCCTCCACCTTCTTCTCCCGGAAAATCTGGGGTCCCGTCTCACGCGAATCCCATCCCGCAACGAGCAAGCATTGCACGCGACGGATGTGTTGGAAAAACTGCGCCACGGGGGTCCCTATATCCCAAGAGCTGTCTTGCTCAGAATTGCCAGAGCAAGTGTGTCGTGCACGGTACGCCTGCAGAGAAAGGGGATCGGGCACGTCTGACAATGGCTTTACCTTGAAATCGGGTGTGTCCCCCTACAGGGGGATTTTGAACGAAAAATTCAAAACACCCAAAAAATACCCCCCAAATGTTCAAAAATAGTAAGAAAATAGTTCCCAGACAATTTTGTTTACTACTTTTGAGTATTCCCCCTGTAGAAAGACAGGCCCGACGTAACTTTACCTCAAACGTGGCAGCCGCGAAGCGGAGGTTGGGGCAGAAGGAAGGCCCGCGCCCCCTCATTCGCCGGAGCTCTACGACCCCACCTTTCGTCCGACCGCAAGTGCGCCACAACTTTGGCCACACCCTTGGCGCCAATTGTGGCGCCTACTTGGATTACAATTCTGGAACCGATCCTCCTGCACGAACCGCGACCCCCCATCACAAACCCCCGCCGATATCGATCCAAGAACTGGCGCGCAACAGGATGGACATCTGGATGGAAACCTGAATGGAAGTTTTGGTGTGGATGCTCCCCGGGGCCGCGCAGCGGAACACAGAAGGGGTCAGGCGCGCCTCTGGCGCCGCCCCAGCGAGAGGGACGACCCTTTCCTTCCCAATGGCCAGGAAGGCCACATGCCCCCAGCACAACGACGTAGCCCCCCGGAGGACCCCCCCAGCACACGGCGGCATCAAAGCACGTCGCCCCTCGAGAACCTCCACTCTAGAAAGGGTCCCTCCCGGCAAAATCCATGTGGCGAGAGGTCGAATTGCACGCCGCCTCCCTTCATCCGCCCGCCGCCCTCTTGTCTCCACCACCCTGCTTTTGTCGCGCCCTCCTCCTCCCCATCCACCCTCCTTCCTTCCCGTTCCTTGCCGCTCCCCCCTTCCTTCCCCCTCCCCGTGGCCCCCGACCAAAGCGGGGGAGTTTGGATTCTACGCAGTGTGGCGCGCTGATGCGAGGTCGCGCACGGACGGTCGCAGACGCCCAGAAACAGCCGACCCATTGTGGGGCCCAGATGCGCGCGAGGTCGTTAGTTGACGTTCGCAGGCTTTCTGCGGAAAACTATGACGACTATTCTAAGACATCCGATGCTAGGGGGGAATGGGGCGGGGGCGTCAATCCCCAACGCTAACACATCAATTTCCCCACCAGCCTGCTGTCTTGGGTCCTCGTTTTGAAAAGACACCCCCGCGTCCCTCCTCTCCTCCTCCTCCTCCTCCCTCCTCCTCCTCCTCCTCCTCTCCTCCTCCTCCTCCTCCCCTGCATCATCATCATCATCATCATCATCATCATCATCATCATCATCATCATCATCATCATCATCATCATCATCATCATCATCATTCATCATCATCACATCATCATCATCATCATATCATCATCATCATCATCATCATCATCATCAATCATCATCATCATCAGCATCAGCATCAGCATCAGCAGCATCAGCATCAGCAGCATCACATCAGCAGCACCATCATCATCATCAACATTATTATCATCATCATTCATCATCATCATAATCACCAGCATCATCATCATCATCATCGTCATCATCATCACCATCATCTTCACCATCACCACCATCATAATCACCATCATCATCATCATCATCATCATCATCATCATCATCGAAATCGTCATCATCATCATCCTCATCACCATCAGCATCATCATCAACATCAGCATCAGCATCAGCATCAGCATCAGCATCAGCATCAGCAGCATCAGCATCAGCATCATCATCAGCATCAACATCATCATCGGCTTCGTCACACCCCTCACACGCTTCGTGGCCCATAGGGAGCTCCACCCAAGGTCCCATGGGCGCAATCCGCATGGCGGCGCCGTACCATCTTGGCACACCCCTCACACGTTTCGTGGCCCCATACGGAGCTCCACCTAAGGTCCCAGTGGCGCAGTCCGCATGGCGGCGCCGCCCCATTTCGGCACACCTTTCACACGTTTCGTGGTCCGATAGGGAGCTCCATCTAAGGTCTCAGTGGCGCAGTCGGCAAGGCGACGCCGCTCAATTTTCGCACACAACTCATACGTTTCGTGGCCCCATAGCGAGCTCCACCGAAGGTCCCAATGGCGCAAGCCGCATGGTGGCGCCGCCCGATTTAGGCACACCCCTCACACTTCCGTGACCCCATAGGGAGCTCCACCTAAGGTCCTAGTGGCGCAGTCCGCGTGGCGGCGACGCCCCAGTTTGGAACGCCCCTCACACGTTTCGTGGCCCCATAAAAGGGGGTCCCATCCATGGTCCCAGAGGTGCCGTCCGCATGGCGGCGCCGCCCCATTTCGGCACACCAGTCACACGTTTCGTAGCCACATCGGGAGCTCCACCTAAGGTCCCAGCGGTGCCATCCGCATGGCGGCGCCGCCCCATTTCGTCTCCCTCACACGTTTCGTGGCCGGATAGGGGGCTCCACCGAGGGTCACAGTGGCGCCGCCCGCATGGCGGTGCCGCCCCATTTCGGCACACCCCTCACACGCTTCGTGGTCCCATAGAGGGCTCCACCTAAGCTCCCAGTGGCGCCGTCCGCATGGCGGGGCCGCCCCATTTCGACACATCCCCCACACGTTTCGTGACCCCCTAGGGGGCTCCACCAAATGTCCCAATGGCGCAGTCCGCATGGCGTCGCCCTCCCCGTCCTTCTCACTCCCTGGGGTCAGTCGTGGAGACCCCGCCCCCCTGCATCCAACTGTGCACCCTCCACGACGAGCCCCCGCGCTCCCGAGGAGAGCTTCCCCGAACCACCGACGAGACGTCTCCTCCCCCTCCTCCCTCGTCGGCCGTCTCCTCGGTGCTTTCGGCCGCCCTTGGCTCCGTGCCTGGCCCCCCGTTGTTTGGGAGGGGAGGCGGCCTGAACAGGAGCTGCCCCTCACGCACGGGGTGTGCGTCGTCGCCGAAAGCACGGAGACCGCCTCCTGGCCTACTGCCGAAACCTCCCACAGCCGTCCTATCTTCCGTCGCCCCCCGTCCTCTCGGCTGTCGCGCTTGTCGGGTGCTGCGCTCGCCGCGCCCCCGAGTTTGGAGGATTGCCTTCGAGGACGGCCGAGTCGAACCGAACCCTCGCCGTCGTCCTCATTATGCTCCTCCCCTCTCTCTAGATCCCTTCATCCCTCTCTCTCTCTTCTTCCTCTCTCTCACTGGCTCTCTCTCTCTCTCTCTCTCTCTCCCTCTCCAGGTACACGCA